TATTTTTCCCCTAAAGACAACAAAACCTGGAAGGAGAACCACAGAGAGATTCATAAATGCTCCTGGTCCTAGAGCTCTGAGGCAACTTCTTGGCTCAATGAAAGGTTTCCTTCCAAAGTGAAAAGTGTCCAGAAGTTTAGTTCGCAATGCTTTAGTGAGGCAGGGGAAACAACGTTTTTTTTTCCCTAACATTTGCCAAGCAAGAGTGAAGAGTGCAGGGCAGAGTCCAGACTGCCCTGGATGGAAAGACACTGAGAAAGAGAAAGAAAGAGAAAGAGAGACAGAGACAGACAGGCAGACAGAGAGAGAAAGAGATAGAGACAGAGAGACAGAAACAGAGAGGGAACTGTTGTGTGCAAGAACGGAAGAAAGGAGAGAAGAACTGAGCTCAGTGAGGGAGCCCAGGAAAGTCAAAAAGTATCCTGTCAGAGCTAAACAGGTGACCTGTATCCCATCTGAATGCAAGAAGGAGAGGTCTCAGTGGAAATTCTCCTATCTCCTTTTCAGTAATTAACCTGCCTCTGTGTACATAAAGGCATAATTACAGGCAAAACAACTCCTTTGATGTGTGAGTATAGAATTACTAGGGGGAAAAGAGGGGAGAAATAAAACAGCGAACAATCTTGCTTTAATATGCAAACAAGGTCTATGAAAAATTATTACCAAGAAAGCAAAGAAGGCAAACAAAAGGAAAAAAGGCTTGGGAAACAAACCAGGTTGAGCGAGCATCAGGAGCTGGCTCTGCTCCCTTGGGGAGCATCCACAACTAGGAACACAGTGCTTTTCCTTCAAGACTTTCCTTTCAAATAGTTCAAGTGTTTTCAAGTAGCTCTTCTTATCAGGTCACTTTCTCCTCTTCTCCTTACTCGAACTATGCCCCTTCCTCCTTTTACAAAAATTCCTATCCCATTCCCAAAATGGTCCTTTTAGTCTTAAATTCAGAGTTTATGAAACCAAGGTTCAGAGTGGTCCACAGACTACATCCCAAAAAACAGAGCAAAGAGGGAATGGGATCTAAGACCCTAACCCAACATCCTGTCATCTAACCAGTGAGTCATCCACTTAGCAACGCTCCCTGTGTCCTGGCTGACTTCATTACAGAAATCTTTTCGTTGGGGAAGGGGAGGAGACCTATGCAATGCTAATATCATTTAGCATTTGATGGGCTTTGAGAAGGAAAAAAAAAAGAAAGACAAACAAAGAACAAGGCTGCAAGAGACCTTGGCATGTTAGTCACCCTACACATGAATTCCAGAAATGGATATATTCAATAGAACTATACTATACTAAGCATATGGAAAATTTCAGGACAGGACAGAGCTGGGCTTTGAAATACAAACAGACATTACTCTTGGCCCTATGGTGTCTCTTGTGCTGCCATGGTTCCAGGCTATGAACTTGCAGAATAACAAAAAACAATACTCAGATGATGGGGTAAGACAGGGAGACTGGATTTGGCCCCAACAGTATCATTTTTCCATGGGAATAATCTTGGGGACTAAGCTTTGACTGACTGTGGGAGAATGCAAATCAGCACTTTCTGTAGATTTTCTACTAGTCCTTGTTTCTCTTGGCCTTGTCAGATCTGTGGCCTGGCTCACAGATTCCCACCAGGCCAGCTTTAGCCCACAGACCTTTGAGAGATGGGAATGGATAGTGTCAAAACAACAAAGAAACTCAAGGATTCATTGCTGAAGCGGACATTGATGTGACTAGATAATTGCACATATCCCATCTGTATTTCCATGGACTGTGCATCCATAAGATCACTGAAGCAAAAGTAGGTTTTTCCTCCAACCTCACCATTCCACCCTGTACTTGGGGCTGGGAAAACCTAGTTTCATTTTCAACAAATCCCATTGATTCAGCGTGATTTAGGAAGAGGTCTCTTTTAAATGGGCTGTTCTACATGTTGACATAGGGTCTTCATAAAAGCTTTGTTTATTTTTAAATTTTCAAACTGTAGTAGTACAAGTGCAATGTTAGAGGCCACAATCTCTAGAAATGAGTGGGGAATTGTTTTGGGGTTTTTTTGTTAATGCTGATATAGACAGTTGTTCTGTTCATCAGGATTTAATTTATCTTCTCATCTATTACTGGCATTTCTTTCATGGGGTAGAAGTAGTAGTAGTAGTACTAATAATAGTAACAGTTGTAGAGGTAGTAGTAGTAACAGCAAAAGTAGTAGTAGTAGTAGTAGTAGCAGCAACAGTAGTTATTAGCAGTAGTAGTAACAGTAGGAATAGTAACAGCAGTAGTGGTGGTGATGGTAGCAGCAATGATAATATAACTAGTATTTATAATAGGCTTACTAAGTATAAAATATGTTAAGTACAGTTGCATCACAGAATTGTTCTAATCATAAATAAGTTTTCTTTTAGATAGCTTTTGAATTTCTATTCAACCTATAATTTAGTTTATTCCAGTTTGAAACTGCATAAGGATTTCATGAGAACCCAATTAGTGTTTCCATATTATATATATATATATATACATATATATATATATATATATAATAACCAGGTATATAACAAATCCATTTTCATCTTTTTTCATAAAGTTTCCATTTCTAGTAAAAGTTTTCAGGGCAAATACTTATGAAAATGTCACTTGGGTGACAATTCTTAAATGAATTTATATGATGATTTTCCTAGCAGAAATTCAGGGTTGTTTTCTGTGCATATTTGGATTATTCCTCCTAGGGACAATGGTCACACACTAAGAAGCACATGAGGGCCAGACCTCTAGTTTGGGGAAAGAAAATCAGCCCTCATTTGAGTTCAGTGGCAAAAATGACAGTGTAGTATTTACTAATGGGATATGTTCAGGCCTGTTGTGGAGCAAGTAGAGGAAAATACCTTGGCCGATGGTCCTGGACCCTTATTCATTTTTGTAGAAGAAGCAATAAGAGGGGTGGGGGTGGGAGTGGTCCTCAGAAACGATATAATTCAATATACATTTATTGTGTACCTAGTATATGCAAGGGACTGTGCTAGGAGGAAGGGTGATACAAAGACAAAATGAAAAAACAGTCCTTGCCCTCATGATATTATACTGAGGTTACAACATTTACACAGATTAATAAAAGCATGATAATTTGAGAAAGGAAAAAGCACTAAGGTAGGAGGATAGGGATGGGGGTGTAAGAGTAAATTAAGTGCTTATGAGAGCTCCCAAATTTCTCTTTGAGTACCACACATAATCTTTATGTTCTCATCCAACCCAAAGACCTCTCATTTTGAAGGAAGGAAGGAAAGACGTATTTTAGGGGAGATATTTAGAAGCAGTATGTCATAATGGTTAAAGACCTGGATTGGATCCAGAAAGACCTGGGTTCAAATCCTACCCTGATCCATACTAGTTGTATGACCCTAAGAAAGTTACCTTATTCTTCCATTGCCACCACCACCACCACCACCACCACCACCACCACATACAACTATCATGGCAAGCCAAGTATAAATTCAGAGTGATTGATGATTTGCATTGGCAGAAAGTATTTTCCTTACTGGAAGTTTCCTATACCAATGAAATCAGATTCATACAAAAAAAAAAAAAGACAAGCTGGAGAAGAAGTTAGAGAGCCTACCTACCTTGGGATCAGGAAGACCTGCCTTCAAGTCCCTATGAGACACATCCTAGCTAAGAGATCGAGGGCTAGGCATTTAACATCTCAGTGCCTCTAGGCAATTTTCTTGGCCTCCAAATTACAGACTAGCTATCCTACACAGAATAAAACCTCAGGTACAGATCCCTTTCCCATCTCCTGCCCCCAAAATGACAAGCTAGATGAAGAGCATGTACTTCTACTAAGTCTACTAGGAAGAGGAGGGCACCATAAACTACGCCTTGAGGACTGGCTGGCAGCATTGTTCATGTTCAATTTGGAGAAAGGAAGATTTACCAAAGACAGAAGAGCTGTTTTCAAATATTTGACAGGCCGTCACATGGAAAAAGAAGCAGACTTATGTGTGGTTCCAGAGGACAGCACTAGGAACTTACCTGGAGATCAACATAAAGAACTTTCTAACAATAAGAGCTACAGACAACTGGGTACAACTACCATTAAGGATGAGGAGAGTAGTCCTCAGAAACAATAGGTCAATTCAATAAACTTAAGCACTTAAAATTAAGCACTTACTAAGTGCAAGGAACTGTATTAGGTGGGGGTGGGGTTAGGGTGTGGGTGGGGAGAGGGATACAAAGTCAAAATGAAAAACTTGACCTCAGTATATTTTACTGGGGGCTGCAACATTCACTAAGATTAGTTAAAAGCGTAGTAATTTGAGTAAGTAGAAAGTACTATCAAGAGGATGGAAAAGGTAGGGATGGACTGCCATTTCCAACAACGAAGGGAAAAGCTGCCTCCTTATTTCATTCAACAATCATTTTTAAGTGCCTACTATGTTCCGGTCACTGTAATAGGTGCTGAGATGAAAAAGAAGAAAGAAAAAAAAACGCCCGGCCCTCAAAACTCTTATATGGGGGTGGGGGAGAGGGTAGTTACGGGCAGGAGAAATGTGTATAAAGTTAAGTAAAAACAAAAGAACTACAATTTAGTTGGAAGGGGCTGTGTATACATGGAGGTTTCAGGCAGAGTCTAGATGACCAGAAGGCGTGGATGCTGGATAACAGGGTGAACTTGATGACCTCTAAGGTTTCTTCCAACTCGGAGATTCTATGATTATATGACAGTAGAGAATCCCAGAGATGATCTTTGCCCAGCTTGGGCTAGAAATGACAGGTGTATAAGGAACAGGAGAAATACCCTCCCCCCACCTCCCAAGATCAAAAGACAGCTCTGCATTTAAAGGAAAAAGAAAGCAAACCCAACTTCTCCGAAACTAACCTTTGCTATTTCTCCTGGACTGAAATGGGGGGGGGGGGAATGGGAGGACGTGGAGATGTCTACCGAAGGGACTGTGACCTAGACTTAGCCTTGGCACAGCATTCCGCGGTGAGAAAGGAAGGGGGGGGGGTGGCGAGTAGTTCTCCATTACCTAGGTTGGTTTTCATTCTGCCCAGTTCCTGACTGTGGTGTGGTGTTTGTGCAGGTGTACACAAACAGTCGCCGTATGGATTTTTCCAGCTCGTGTCAAATGCGGTGAATTTCCGTGAAGGACTGAGGAGGAGCTGGTTGGAAACTCGACTGAGGAAGGAATTCAGAAAGGTGAGGGGAGGGGGGGCAACCTAGAGCCTCTTTCCCCACCTTTTATCCTTACTGGTCAGATGGATGTATCTGGCTCGCGCTAGGACCCAGGGGCCAGTGAGCCTCAGTCGTCCTGTAGGTTCATTCAATCTCTCATACACACACATACACTCACACACACGCACACCCGCGCGCGCACACACGCACACATACACACACGCACGCAGACATACACAACTGCAACCAGGAGAGGTTCGGAAAGTCTGCGAGAGACTCTGCGGCCGCATTTTCTTCTTCTCAGATCCTGTCCTGCACTTGGCAGCAACAAGCCTTCTCCCAGAGTGTCCGAAGCAGGAGCCGGGAGATTCCCCCCACCCCCCACCATGGGTAAACGCGGCAGGCCGAGGAAAGAGGCGAGATGCGGGGAGGAGGATGGGCCGGCCGCCTCTCCAGAGCCCCAGCCTCAGCCTCAACCCCAGCCACAACCTGGGGCGCCCGTGGCAGCCCAACTCAGGTGCCCCTTCAGTGACATCTTCAACACCAGCGAGAGCTCGGTGGAGAAACATATCAACACTTTCCTGCAGAATGTGCAGATCCTGCTCGAGGCCGCCAGCTACTTGGAGCAGATAGAGAAGGAGAACAAAAGTAAGTTTGCAGTTTAGGGAATAGCTTCTCGCCCTCCTCTGTCTGCGCCTAGCCCCTCGAACCAGCCTCTGCCCGTTCCCAGCCCTCCCCCAGCTCCTAGCTGTGAGCAACTGACACCGGAGGAAGGGACAGGCACTCAGGGCTTTCAGAGATGTAACAAAGAGAGGGGGAGAGAGAGCGAGAGTGTGCGTCTCTGTGTGTCTGTCTGCTGGGGCTGTGGAGAAGGGCCGAGGAGAAAACTGCAAAGTGGTGTTTGGCTGACAACCGGGCACCAAGCAGGATGTCCTCGAGGTCGTTTTTAGTCTCTTTTTTTTTTTCCAGTCTCCACGGCCGGACGAGTGTTTGTTTTGCCATCGCCTGAATCTGGGTGGGGTGGGTATATTAGCAAGCTAAAGTTGGAAGCGGAGGGTAGAGAACGGGGATTCCAGAACAAAACCCTGTTCTTTCTTCCTTGCTTTCTTTCATTCTCGCGTTCTCGCTCTGTCTCTCTCGCTCTCGCACTCTGTCTCCACCGTCTCTTTTTTCCTTTCCGTGAGCGCTGTTCTCCAGAGACCCACGTCCTGAGACACAATCGGGGGCTGCTGCCGGCACAAGTGCACGATGGTGTTAATCTCCCCTCCCCATCCCCGAACCCTAGCAAAAACAACAAACAAAAAAGCCTTTCGGTGTTTGGCCTGAAGAGTCTCCCTCTCCCCCCACCCCACAAAAAAAAAAAAAAATATGGCCTTGTGCAGTAAGGAAGTTGGCCAAGGGGACGATGCTAAAAGGAAACTTTATGATCTTGCAGGAAACAATAGTTGACAAGGGTTTTGGTTGTTTTGATGGAGGTGGGTTTATTTATTTATTTTCCAGACGACATCTCCAACTCAGCTGCCTGGGCAGGCAAGGAAGTAAATAGTCTTCCTGATAAATTCAGTCTACTGGCCTTGGTTTTGAGGGTGCTAGCTTTTTCCCCCGTACAGCTCACGACCCCCCACCCCCGTCAGCAAAATAACCATCCCTAACGGGTGCATGCGTTTGCCACAGCTCGGCTCGGAGCACAGTCATTGACAATAAAAGATGGGAGGGCGGGGGAAGGGGGAAAGGGAGACTGAGAGAAAACCCTGGCTATTTAATCGTCCGAACAAGCAGGAAGATCAATGCAAAACGTACGTACATACACATACAAACACACACACACACACACACACATACACAAAAGGTCAGATTGCAACGTGTCAGATCTTGCAACCCTCCCCTCACCATTCCCTTAACACACTCTCACTCCCACACGCCAAGAACATCACACACACAACACACATCCCCACCAAACAAACGCATCGACTTCCAGGGTTAAACTAATCATATCAAAACACGAGAAATCATGCTAATTCTTTATTTTATTTTAATTGCATTTCAGAGGTTAGCGGGGGGAGGGCTTTTTTTCCCCTTACTCCAAAACGCTCTTGGTGTTTAGATTGCAAAAGAGAAAAGCTCTGATGTCCGAGTTACCGTGTCTCTTTCGATTATTCATGGTGGGGAGGTAGGGAATGCATTGGCTAGGGTTGTAGTTTCTGAAAAGCTGGAGTGAGAGTATGCGGATGGAGTGTAGGGGGGAGAGAAGAGGGGAAGAAGCGAGGATTTTTGTGTTCGTTTTGCGAGTGCAGATTGAGGGATGGTACACGGGGGTGGGGGTGTCTCTCCTTCCCTCGCCCCCAGCATCTTCTTTCTCTAGAGTTGTGTCTTGTGTTGACTAAGCTTTCAGTTGTTTCGAAGTGTTTATGGAAGGGACCTTGGAAATGGGCTGAAACCTTTATTTTTCCTTATGCCACCCCTAAACACCTCCTTCTTTCTCTCTCTCCCCCTCGCTTATCCCTGGGGACGAACACAGGACCCGGGAGCTTGGAGTCTTCTCGCTTATCCGCTTTCCTCATCCTTGGCGTGGCCGCAAGTCACGTAGGCAAAAAGCCGAGCGAGCTGGGTTGCCCAGTGGGGAGTGCAGAGGAGGAGGGAAAGGTCTCCTCCCTGCTGAGCTAGTCCGCGCGCTCTTGTTTGGGTGGGGAGGTCGTTGGAACAAAACTAAACAAAACCTGACTTGCTCCTTGGAGTAGGACTTTAGTTCAGCAGTAGCCACCTTTCCTTGGTCAAAGTCAACTTCATATACGTATGTATTCAGCCTTGTCTCTCAGCACCAGAAACCCACTCCTGCCTCTCCTTCCTCCTCCCCCCCCAACTCTCCCTGCTAGAATATTTTTAGACCTCGCTCTCCCATTTCGCTGCTGCTGTTTTGCTGTACAGGACATGCTGCAAACAGCACCCTGATTTCCGCAGATGTGCTGAGCGCAGAGCGTGAAATGATGTGGCGAGGAGGAATAAAAGGCAGCGGGGCTGGATTGCCGAAAACGCTGAGGAGCTGGAGGCGCACATTCCCTCCCCCACTCCCTCAAACTCCCCCCCTTCCCTCCGCCCCCGGCCTCCCACGCATTGTTGGTGCTGTGGGGGATGACATAATCCGAAGTCTCTGGGTCCTCCCTACTCTCAGACCAGCGCCACCCGAGTGGCATGCCCTTCTTGTTGTTACCCTGGGCTCCTTGCCATCATCCCTTGCAAATATCACCGAATTCTTTCCTACTTTCTCCCCCCACCCCTCCTCCACAGAAATGCAAGGCCCTTTGGAACAGCCTTTCTTCTTCATCTTCTCCGCAGCCCTTGGCTGATGTTTTTCCTGCTCCACACAATGCCCAACGTCACGTCACCGGTGTGTGCCTAGAGACATTGTGAGCGGCTGAGGAGGGTCGTGGTACCCCTCTCCATCCTCCGCCGGCAGCGGTGCGGCTTGTTTGTTTTGCTACAGAGCACGGATTGCATTAAAGAGAACATCTTAATTGGCAAAGAGTGAGAGGGGGGAAAGGAAATGAGTTTTAGAGTCTAGATAGGGTCCGACAGGGTCACTGGGTTCAGGTTTGGGATATTTTTGGAAGGAAAACGCCGTTGTTTTTCTTTCTTTAAGCTTCCTCCCAGTTTCTTGCACGGTATTTTTTTTAGGTCACATTACTGCATAGAATGCTGCTGGCTCAGGTGCATAACCTCCCTGTCTGCATTACAGCCCGCTCCCCCGTAGTCACTTGATCTCAGTTTCTCCGCCTCTCCCCTCTTCTCCCCTCCCAGCTGGAGACACGTGGTTTCCACATGGAGACAAACTTCTCTCCTCTGAGTGGACTTGACCTAGCTGCGTGTTTTGGCCAATTGGCGGCTTTGGCCTCTCCTGACGTCACGCGTTGCCAGGGCTTAAGGGTCGGTGGGTGGGACAAAGAGCCCAGACCGGGAGTCTCTGGGAATTGTAGTGCTTAAACTGCCAGGCTACCCTCTTCTTAAAGGGGCCCTACACCGACTCTGATTTTTTTTTTTCCAAGAGGACTGCCAGGCTCCATTAAGAACGCCCAGTGAATAGATGTCTCTATGTCACTTCTGAATGGGCTGGGACTGGAGTGTCACAGGACGGGAATCTCCCAAACCCGTGGCCGTTCTGAGTTCATCTTTTTACTTTTACTCTTGTTTACAAATTGGGGAAGAGGGAAAGAGAGAGTGTGTGAGTATGAATGTGTGTGTGTGTGTGTGTTTGTGTGTGTGTGTGTGTGTTTGCATAGTAGCCTGAGCGGTTCTCGGAATTCTTCTTGACCGTAACAGAGTTAGAATCTAGCTCAAGAAATTTTGGTGACTTAGCCCAAATGCTATATTGTTTTCTGTATGTAAATGGAGTGGATTTTTGTTGTTGTATGGTGAGCAAATCAAATAAACAAACAATTATCTAGCTCTTACTACGTGCAAGGCCCTGTGTTTCTATCTAAAATAAGAGTTTTTTGGAAGTTTTTAAGGCGAAGATTATATATGATATTTTTCATATTTTAATAAATTTCCCTCTACATCTAGCACAGTGCTGGACCCGAAGTAGATGTTTAGGAAGTATATGCTCATCTGACTGGCAGCGAGGGTTAACTACAGGCAGGAATAGAATTGGGCCCCAGAGTTTAGAACCAGAAGAGTACTTAGGATAGAGAGCAGGGTTGTCAGAAGCACAGATCAAGTCTGGGGCTTGGGGCTCTGCACCACATTTGACTTTAGCCTGCTTAGAGAAAATGAGGTAGAATTATCCCGTATTTTGGAAGAGATATGAGCCTGGATTGAGGTAGACAGGTCAGGACTTGAGAGCTGTATTCACAATGGTTCTGCATACACCTGCCAGTTGAAACCATGAAAATGGATCAAGTACTTCAGATTGGGGGGTCAGGGTCCACTTATCCTCAAACTGAGGGTTTCCTTGGCAGCTCATGTTCAAACAGGTCACATTTCTAACACCAAGCTCCCCAAACTAATTGCCTTTTTCTAAAAACCCTATGGATTATTTTTTTTGGGGGGGTGGGGATTCTTCAGCAGCAACCCTGCTTTCCCTGCATCCTTGGTTAGGAAGCCCAACACTGCTGCAAGAGCCTTGTATTTAGGTATTTTTCTTAGTTCTAGATTTTGATCTCTGTAAGCCTGTCTGATAAATGCTGGTGTCAAGTAGAGTGGGTTGGCTCCTAGTCAGAGCTGGGTAGCTGGCTTTGAAGATGTAATCAGCATTTAAGGCCTCAAAGTACCAGAGACAAGGTGCATTATGGAAGGGACACTGGTGAAGGTGTTTAGTCTCCAGTGAATGTACAAAGACAAGTCCCTTTTTCCTTAGTTTTGAAAGAAAAGGAAGTATTTATTAAACTGCACCTGCAGACTTTTCCATCAAAGGTGTCTCTTCATAACAGCTGCTAACCCTTAGAGAAACACTAGCTTGACCGTGACTAAATATGAAACATAAGAGCCGTTTAAATAAATCTGGAGGAAGGTGTGGCATTGATGACAATTGGACTACTGCTCATCCTGCTTCAGGTCGGGGAAGCCAGTTTACTTTTTTAGCAGAGAATTTTGTGCTTGGTGACAGGTTTGGAAGCTGCCTCTCTGGTTGCTTGAGACCTCCAGATCGGAGTCTG